GCCAGCCGCACGCGCCGGGTGCTGCCCGGCGCTGAGCAGAGCCCAGCAGTGGTACTCACTCCTCGGTGGTGAAGCAGACGAGGCGGCGGAAGATGCCCTTGGCTTTCTGAGCCTCCACAGCCTCCCGGCCCAGGAAGGGGATGCTGGACTTGAGCTTGCAGGTGAAGGCCAAGCCTGCTTCTAGTGGGGTATCATCAGGGCGCAGGTCTGCGTGCCAGTGCCTGTACCCTGCAGAGAGCAAGCATGGGTCACCCAGCCTCGCCCTGCCATGGCAGCAAGCCCAGGGTGGGCAGCATCAGGAGACCAAGACATCACCCCTGCCTCTTGGACACCCCTGTTGCCCTCAATTCACTTGGCTCTGGACAAAGCACCCTGGAGAGGAGCCCGTACTGGGGAAGCCTCAGCAAGGAGCACTGGTGCTGGCAGCATCTCTGCCAGACCTGCAGTCACACTGACCTGCCCTCAAAGCTGCAAAAAACCCATCTGCCCTGGCCGGAGGCAAAGCAACAAGCGCTGCTGTAAGGCAAGTAAGAAACCTTTCTCGATGCTGAGGCTGTCGATGGCTCTGTAGCCGGCGTTGGTAATGCCGTGCCGGGCACCCGCCTGCATCACCGCCTGGTAAACCTTCACGCAGTCCGCCTTGGGCACGTGCAGCTCCCAGCCCATCTCGCCGACGAACGACAACCTCATGGCACGGACCTGCGAAAGGCAAGAGGCCAAACACCCGGGGCTGTGCAGCGCGGGAGAGGCTGCGGAGCCGCGTGCCACCATGGTAGGGGGAAAGCTGGGAAACTGGTGCGAACGCCCTGCTTTGGTGGGAGGCATTTCTTTGCTCTCCCTAGCGCATAAAGCCAGAGTCAGACTGAATATCTCTTCTCGAGACAGCCTAAGGTTGGGATCTCAAACTCACAGCTCCCCAGTGCCACTCCAGTTGCCGGCAGCGCCCAGGAGGGACGGCCAGCAAGCAGAAGGGGCTGCGTCCAGCATCCTCCGGCCACCGATCCCAGGGCCGCCAGCCAGGCTGGGGTTAGCCGTGATGCTCCAGCTCCAGCCGGGCTTTTGTCTCCCTCTGCTGATCCATCAATGCCTGAAGAAAAGCCCGTGGGCACCCCCAGCCCTGCGTCTCCCCAAATCTGCCGTATCAGCCTCTCAGATGGGGAAGTCGGTCCCCAGCGGGACTGTCCTGCTTTGGGGCACTTTGGGGCTGCTGTCCCCCAGGATGACCCCTGCTTGGGATGGGGATCCTGCGGCAGAGGCACCCGGAGGCCCTGCGCTCCTGGCAGGGGCTGAGCCTGGTATCCCAACCCACATCCTGCTCACTCCAGGGGATGTTCAAGTTTCCTCCGGTGCAGGTTGCACCCCAAAGCATTACTCTCTGCTGCCAGATTAGCTCAACACCGAATGCATGAAGCTTTGAAGAGGAAGGAGCAGATCAGCGCAGAGGACTCGGTGCTTCTCGGGGGAAGCCTCGTCCTTGGAGATTTCCCTTGCCCTGGGAGCACAGACCTCCCAACTGTGCTGGGACTGCCCTGCCCATGCCCCCCCCGTTTCTTCCCCAGGCAGACCTGCCTGCATCCTCCTGTTGTCCCTACCGAGCCAGTCTGCATTCCCAAAGCTTTCCAGGCCGTTTGGGGACACCCTGACTTGGGCACCTTCCCCGGAGATACCCTTTGAGTCTGAGCTGCATTTCCCTCTGCCTCATCCCTTTGGATTTCTCTGCTTCCTCCCCCACAAAAACCCCTCTGGTTCATCCCTTTGGATGCACATCAACTGCAAACTCATACCTCGCTTTGGGAGAGAGATTAAATCAGAGTTCCATGCCAGATTGTGATTTGAAGTCTTAAAAAAAAAGTGATTTTCAGCCAGGAAGAGACTTCCAGGCTGGTCCCATTGGCCGGGCGCACTCCGCAGCTTTGGGACTGCCTTTCCCGTGCTGGCTCTTGATGTTGCTGGGGCAGAAGCTGCCTCTTGCCATTTCCTGAGCTCTTACTACAACCAGGAGCTGATTTCAGCTGTGTTCTCTAATCCCAGGTATAAACAACAACAGACAACAGCAGCTGCTGCCCAAAACAGGCAGCGACAGGTATGAGAAGTACCAAAGGGGTGCCCGAGGTCTCCGCTCCGAGGATGAGAACCCAAATCCATCCTTGCTTCCCCACCAGCACCCCCATGCTCTACCAGCACTGCAAAAATAATGTCCTCAAGCAGAGTTTAAGGCAGCTTTTAAGATGCCTTAACCGTGACAATAGAATTAAAGAGAAGGGAGGAGTGCCATAGCTATTGGGAATTCATTTTGAGCCTCCTCCCGAGAAGCCGTGCCGGGAAGCCATCCTTCCTCCGGTCCCCGCCACGGCCCCGCAGTGAAGCACAAAGGCTGGCAATCCCTTTTGGGGGTGCACAGACACAAGGGGCGTGGAGAAGCTTTTCACACTGCACAAAGGTGTCACCTAATTAGGGAACAGCCGGAGACGAAGCCGCTGCAGCCAGCTACCACCTTCATCTGCAGCTAGCTATCCTCTTCACCATGGCAGAAGATGCTCTGGGGATTGACAGGCGACTTCCCGGCTCATTAACCCTGCCTGCCACTCAGCAGTCAGTGCAGCAGGTAAAGTGCACTTTACTTTCAGGAGCAAGTTACTCCTGGGAGAACCTTCCCCTCCGAACCATCACTGCTCCGGGGAGAGAGCATCCCGGCAAGAGCAGTGAAGCAGAGCAGTGCACCATAGAAAACAGGCGTTCCCAGGAAAAATGGGGTGTCAGTCATTAGCTTTGGGGAGGCAGGGGTGTGCATACCCCGGGCAGGGGTGGGCACCCCACTGCGGAGGCCAAGGGGGATGTCAAGGGCTGGGCTCAGCCACTCCAGCCGGCCTCCTGCTAAATTCCCCTAGGAACAGGTTTTTCTGTTAGATTTCAGCTGGAGCTATGAAATAGCATCAATTGCTGGGTCTTTCAGCAGCAATTCAAAAGGGTTTTAAGTATTCTATAAAACGAAAACCTGAACTTTACCCCGCACCCAGCAGTGAAATTCAAAGGGGGACCTTTCTCTGCTGTTCAATACAATGAGAGACGCTATATATAAACTCACAAACCAATCGGTAATTTCCAGAGTCATTAACTCTGCTGGAGCTCTCCTTTCACTCCAGCTGATTATGTTCAACTACTGAGTTAATGCATGACAATCTCAGCGATAACTTTTTAAAGATGTTGGGTTCAGTTTAATCCCCCTGGAAGGTGATAATATCAGGGAAGGCTTCAGCCCAAAGAACCCAAAAGAAGCCATAAAATTTCTACCTGCTACTTCTTCCTCGCAAGACTGGACTATTTTTTATAAACTTGAAATTAAATGCAAATAAACTAATGGTGCTCTTGAAGATGGGAACGTTTATACACCTTTCCCAGAGGATAAGCAGATTATTACAAGATGTTATCAGTTTGACAGGGGAGGACGTGAGGAGGGTTATAACTCATCGATGGAGACTGAAATGCAGCACATGGGACAATCTGCAACCATGGACTGGCTTTTGAGTCCCCTGTGCCACCGACCCCCGTCAAGGGACACTGGGCACAGTGCAAGTTTTCGGTACCTGGAGCATAGGGCATACTGGTGGTGATCGTTTGGAGAATTAATCTGAGTTGGGCAAAATCTTAGTTAAGATTAACTTAGGCTTAGTTAAACTGTCCTAAACCCTGGCTAGGCTCTGGCTCACAAATCAAGTAGCCTTAATTTGATTTAGCAGCAATCCCTTCACCAGCCAGCTGCATTTGAATTAAAGCCACTTTAATTCTGAATGAAAAGTGTCTGCACGTGGCTTAACCCAATTTCACTGATATCCAG